GATGTTAACACTCAGTGTTCTTTGGTGTTATCAGGGATGTGTTAATGAGTCTTTCCTCAATTAACCCCTGCTTTTCTCCACCCATTGTATTCTGGTGTTGGTGTTCCTTCATATCATCCCATTGCTCCCTGGCTCATTACCAGGCAACCTCTGGGCGACCCTCCCTCCCCCTTTTGACATGGTGTCTTGTCCTTACAGCTGCTCATCCTTGTCATGCCCGCCGGCAGCTGTGTAATGGTGTTACTGTGAAAGGACGTTATGGGCTCACTTATTCCTTGTTACTTAATCAGTGGACATTTACTACATCATGCTCCGCCTTTAACCCGATAGGCGAGGCTTAAAGGGCGGAGCCATACGACATAGAATGTTGGTTACGTTTTGTAACCCCAGATTCTATGAGTATGGCGGAGCCCTTTAAGCACTGTAACGTCCAGCAATGGTCAGTTTTTAGGTACAGTTTGACCATTCAACATCTGGTCAAAATGGAGACACGAGACTGCATGTGTTCCCTTTAAATCGGCCTGCCTTCATCCCATCATCTGGAGCTCAGAGCCTCTCTGCAGCTCTGAGCATGTGATCACAAATTGTCAACAATGATGTTCTCTCCTCAAGGTCCAGCTTCCCTTATCGTCCTACAGGATTCCTCATGCCTCCAAATAAGCAACACTCGCAGCTCGGATTAGTTGCTAAATCAAAGAATGATTTCCTAAATTAAATATGAACTTTTAAAACTTATAAGCTAGTAAATCATTAAATAAACATTTGTTTATTGCTACTTATAATAATAAGTATAATATATAATGAAATGTTTTCATTAATCTGTGCTCATTGATTGCATTTTGAAATGAATGTTATGTTATGATTACATTGATTGATACATGTTTCAGCATGTTAACATGACAAGGTCATCACCATTTGCACTCACACAAGGATAAAGTAAGGTTAAGTTCAACGCGTGACACATAGATTGCCCTTTACCCCAGATCAGAGCATCCGGATCAAAGAAGGCGAGTTTCTGAGTTGTCTTGGTAATATTCCTCAACTTGTCAACCTCTGGTTGGCTGCACAAATCATAACATGAGAACATTAAAACTGGATCACTCTGGTGATTCATCAGTTCTTGAGAAAAGCTTCAGACCGGCCATCTGAAGCAAAACCTCATTAACCATCAAAGCTTTTGGCACGTTGTCAAAATCTTTTTGCACCTGCGAAGCTGATACAGCAAACAGTTCCAGCAGAACAAGCTGATATTGTTTAGACTTCTTAAGAGTCCACCAGACGCGCGGTTCCATCCATCTGTTGTGACCTGGAGACAACTCTAAGACTGGTCTAGTACTGCCACAGTTTCTTCTAGGGACGTGGGTGCCTGGAAGTCCGAGGACTTCGACATTCCGGATCTATCACGAGGGTCTTTGAGTGGGTACAAAGACATGACAGATTGCGATGATGTGTTTTTGATAATAATCAACTTCATAGCTTAACGCAAACAAAATTCTTTTACATCCAGAACTCAGCTCACCTAGATACAGAAGTTCTGATAACATCACATTCACACATAGGTTTCATACATCACATCTAGTTCCATCAATCACAGTAAATGTTAGTTAACCTGTCATGTTTTAATTGTTTTTAAAATAAATTCTTGCTTTAATAAACCTGACTCTTTTCTGAATCAAAACAAAGTGTTTAGAATCCCTGAATAAATAAAGAATCCTAGAATCTTCTGATTAATACAGTAAAGACCAAGCAGGTTCATATTCTATATTTAGATAGAGTATCACAGCTTACTGGTCATAAGTAGAGGTAATATATATTGAGCTCTTAAAGCACTCTATTTACCAAATTCTGCAGCATCGAGGCCCACTGGTTCTGGGATTCTTTGAACTTTTGGAGATGATTGTTCGTCCTCGCACCTCTCTTATTGGACCAGGGCCCACCTGATGGGCGGGCGTACATTAAAGCTCTTCAGTCATTAGTTGTCGTCAAGGACTAACTCCCAATAGGTGAGGTTTAAAGAGCTCCGCCATACTCATAGAATCTGGGGTTAAAAAACATAACCAACGTTTACTTATTTGCATTTTTGCTGTAGATGCATAAAAATCCTTGTTGCAAAGACTCTGTAAATGTCATGATGTACTTTGAAGTTATGTCTCCCACCCTCCACTTGTTTTTCTTTAAAGTCCCCTGTTATTGACTGACAACTTGTCCGAGATGTTCTCTGCCTATCACCTGCATTCCTGCTAAGGAATAAGTCGTTAAGAATGGTAAATGGTCCGTATTTGGATAGAGCCTTCTAGGGTTCTACAACACCCCCAAGGCACTTCACAGCGCAATCAGTCAATCACACACACATTCACACTGGTGGCAATGAACTACAATATAGCCACAGCTGCCCTGTGGCACACTGACAGAAGATATGCTCCTGTGCATTGGTGCCACAGGTCCCTCCAACCACCAGCAGTAGGCAAGGTGGGTTAAGTGTCTTGCACAAGGACACTACAACTGTGACAGACTGAGCAGGACTCAATCACACAACCCTCCGGTTATGAGATGGGGACTTAGTTCCTCTGCCACCGAAGAAGATGAATGCAGTCACAGACTAAATCTTGTGAAATGGATTTATGTTATCTGTTGGAGATAGCTCTCTGATTGGCCACAGCTTGGGAAAACAGATCACCTAACATTTAGCTGCAGTCGGGCTGTATTCCATAGATGCTCATGCAAATGCTATATTTAGAGGTGTGTATACTTTTTCAAAAATGTAATATTTAAAAGTTATTCCTGCTGGAAGATAATTAAAATCATAAACTCACATACCAAGTCATAAACTAGCTAGCTCATTTCCACCCATTGAGCCACAACCACTGAATTATACATAATTAACTATTTATTATTAACCGAGAATTTAGACAAAACATAGCAGTAGCAGCGCTCCATTGTAGCCTCAGCAGGTGTACCATTAGCCTGAAAAATGTTTGGTCTGGCCAATAACAGCGGTCCATGTTTTTAGAGACACTGGTCGTGCTTGGCACCAGAGCTGAGATGGAGCAAGAACTACGAATATAGCAACGGTTTAAGATTGGCACTCATTTGAAACGACTTTGGTGTCAACTTTGTACTCTTCTTGGCTTTTCTTTGAGATGAGCAGAAAGAGGTACTTGTGTCAAAAAACGTTGTTCAACGTTGCCTGGCGGATTGCCTGGTTGACTTGGCCAAATTGTTCATTGCTCTGGTTGGTCCTATAGTGCTGTCCAGTAGCATGCAGAAAGAGTTTGAAAGACATCAGAGCTCTTTCTAGTGGTCATGGCCAAATCATCCTATACATGTATTTACATGTATAGGATGATTTGACTGGCTAAATCTGTTTTATTTGGCCAACTTAGCTGTATGACTCTGGTCTTACTCCACAACATGCATGGACACATTTTCAAAAACATAAAATTACTAAAAAGGAGAAGGGTATTAGCTTTGAAGCAATTATTTACAAATAATAATTACATGTTTACTTATTTGAATTGATTTTTGTTCTTGTACATTATTCAGTGTCTTCATTTGAACTAGACTGGTCTTGGGGAAAACTGTTCTTTGGAGCAGCAGCAGCTCAGGAGGTAAAGTGCGGTAATTGGAGAGTTGCAAGATCAGTCCCAGCTCCCTACAGGGAAATCTGCTGTTCTGTCCTTGCCTGCTGGTGGTGGTCGGAGGGACCGGTGGTAGGGCTGCACAATACTTTGCTAATGTACCATTATCACGATAGCTGCATGCGCAAAATGCTCCGTCGCAAATAACAGAAAAAACTACAATGAATGGTCAGCTCTAATGTTTGCTACACATAATGCATTTTGTCACTCAAATGGAAGCTTGAAGGTTTTGACAAATCAAATAGAGCCCTTTACTCATTTGGCCAATCGGGTGGGTTCTTAGATGCCTGCCCTCTCGGTGGAAGGCACTTAAAGTGGATGGCTAGCAAACTCCTGAGTTAGCTTTGTTCTGCTGATTCTGCTTATCCCAGAATCCACTGATTGCCTTGTCTTGTTCATTCCCTTTCCTCACATCTTTTGATCACAAATGTTCCCATTTTTTATAATATTTTAACCCATTAAAAAAAGTTATGTTTATTTTTTCCCCTTTTTTTGTTCTTGAGTTAAGTATCAGTTTTTTATTGCAAGTCCTATCGTAATCATACAATTAATAACAGTTATCGCTCATTGCAGGCTTTTCTTCAATCGTGCAGTCCTGACCGGCAAGGGCGCCACCAAGGGGTGGCCTTGGGGGGGGGGGGTGCTCGAATTTTAGCGCCACACCTGACCTATGTAGGGGAAAAGCTGGGTTTTTACTATACTTTAGGTTGTGTTGTTGGGATTTTTAAAATGTAATTTTTACCAAAAAAATCTTACTAACCTCACCTCAGTGAGTAATCTTGTAGAACCCCTTGAAGGTCCTAAACCCTTCTTTGGTAACCACAGCTCTAGAAGGCACTATGTAAGTACAAGCCATTACAAATTCATTCATCTCTATTTCTGCAAACTGAGGTTTCTCTAAGAGCTATTGACTGCAGGTAAGCAATTAACTATTTATAAACTTCTTACAGAAATAAAAATCTAAATAAATGAACACGCCTCTCAATAACAGTAGTGTGTGCCTGGTCATTTTGACAAAATTAAAATGTATTCAAATAAATCTCCTGCAACTGTGTTTTCAGTAGTTTAATGACTAGGATGAAGTTTTTTTTAACTGGCTTTTCTATATATATTAAAAAAAACTTTAGTCATTTATTTGTTCAGGTTCCAGCACAGTTTAAGAGATTAAATAAAACAGGGTTTTCAGTAAGTGCTGTATGTAATAGCAAGTTGATAAAATTCACACTAAAATAAAACAAATAGAATGTATGCAGCAGCAAGACATGACATATATCCCAACAAAGGCGTTTAAGGTTCCAGTAAACCCTCCTGGCGTCCTGTCTTTAGTGTCTACAGCGGTAATAATCCCGGGAAGCTCCACCTACTCCACCACCACCTTCCCTGTTAATTTCAGCCTGATCTGCTCACACAGACGCGGCGCTTTAGATCCGTGCTGCTGCTGCTGCTTATCGGTGAGATCCGGAACAGACAGCCTGAAAATACCGTTGTATGTAATTTGTTTTTGTTATGAGCTGCGTGCCGTCGGCATAATGAGGCAGCGGAAAACACGCAGCTGAACGTGCATACTGTGGATCCAGCTCGTGAAAGCACCTTGCATCCAGCTGCCATGGGAGGTCAGATCACCAGGAACACCTTCTACGGTAAGAACACCTGGCTGGTACCCCGGAGCAGGAGCCACAGCCGGGCTCGTTTCTGGAGGCTGGGATGAATGCGCGTTTGCGTGGAACCTTTATGGCGTTTGTTCTGCCTTGGATAAACGAGAAGTGAAAAAGGGGGGCGGGTTTTGCATCATTTAGGTAAAAATAGAAACAAAATTGGAGAAAAATAAGTATATCTAAGCATATAAATGCTCAATATCTTTGGAATATGTGATAATTCTCAACAATGTCAAGTTTGTTTTCCTCTTTCTTTTAAAACTAGTTAAAAGAAGTGAGAAAAGTTGTAGAACAACTCTGTCAAGTTGAAATTGAATCACCTGCAACATCTAAATGATCAGTTTTATTGTTTTTTCCTTAATAGAGATGTGTGCTTTGAAATAGTACATTTTTACAGCCGTGTTTTAGAGTAAATGTGCATTTTAAAGATTATTTTGTCACAAAACATAATTAGATCTTTATTTTTCATGCTTGTGATTTATTTATAAGCTCTTTGTAAATTATTCCTGTCAAACACTTTTTTAAATGCTGAACATTTAGAAAAATTAGGTTTTATATCAAGATTCAAGTAATCAAAAGTCAAAGATTAAAACGACAATGTGTGGTTTTTACCGTTAATCTCTGGAAAAAAATCCATCGAAATGTTGAAAATGAATTTAATGATGTCCAGTTGTTGGAAAATATAATATATGTTGTAACATATAAATATAAAAATCAGGTCTAAAATACATAGGAGCAGGTGTAAGTCTCTGTGTTACTCATATTAGACGCCATGTTTCTTTCCACAGGAGCCCGTGAGGACAAAATGCATTTATTGATTTGTAACCAACAGTTACAAAACTCTCGCCATTCATGAACATTTGTTTTACACCTTTATCTCTTCACTCGTCGCCAGTGATGAAAATGAGTCTGATGTGCTTTTTGCTGGAGGTTTTACTCCCAAGAATTTTTGACCCTAATAGCCATCCGTTGCTCGAACACAAAAATATTGCTTGCTTTCAATGATTTAGGTATATACTGCCCCCTTTCACCAGGGACAATTTAAGTTAACTTTAGAGCAATTGGTTTATAAATGTATGAGTAATTTGCATCATTCCCTGGGATCTGTTATTATTTGTGTCACTTTTCTGTTTGAATTTGGATGAACTGTTTGAATAAAAGTAGAAATGCTGTTTGAATTCATTTTGGCCTATTTTATATACTGTAGTGATTTAATTTGAGCCTTTAATTTCTTTACTTAAACACAGCATGATTAGTGACTGGATGACGTGGTGTCACCTGATAAATGATTAACATGAGCAGCAGCCTACAAAAAATGGTCATTTAGATCTGTATCTTTTTTCCCAATGTCCATGGTAGTGGCCACTGGTGTGAAATAACATTACAGGTGCAGACAGAGAGGCTGCTAGAAAATGCTTGGCCCTGTGACAAGAGCTCAGTCACAGCCCTGAATATGTAAACATCTTTAATCCCTGTCAGGTTACAGGGCTCCTGCTCAAGGACGCTTCATTTTAGTCCGCATCATGTGGCGAACATACATGACGTATTACATAAGGTGTATGCCAGCTTCTTTGTAATACATCTGAGCTACAAGAGCTTGGCTTCCTGTATTAACTTTATCTTTAAGTCCTCAAATATATAAAATTAGAACCATTTAGATCCATTTTAGGGGTTCATTAGTTTGTTTAGTACCTTTTACAGTATGTTTGGGCTACTGGATGTTGCATCGAACTTTGGTTCACGGCCAAAACTAACTTTATCTTAGATCACATAAACAACCCTCTAAGCTGGAATCATGGCACATTTTCATGTGTTTTCATGTAAGTTACTCTCCATTCTGCCTAAGAAGACATTGAGCATTTAGTGTATGTGTTTATATATATATATAATTTATTAGTATTTTTATTTGTATTGATGTATTTATTTATTTAATTATTTATTTTTCAGTTTTCTGCTAAGGAACCAATTTTTTCTGTAGTATTTTATTTTTTTATTTTTTTTTGTTGAGCAGAATCCACCCCCGCAAACATTTAGGCACCGTAGCGAAACCAGAAAGTTGCTCTAATTGGTTACAATCTAGGTCCAATTATAAAATTTCTTGTATCTTTGAAGTAAAAACTTCAACGTTCCTTTGGCCATAAGTGGTAATTTTACAAAAGCAAATTATATAATAAATAAAAAGTCCTTTTGCATCCACATGCCTTTTCAGGGACAAGTGGGGTAATCCCAGAGGCACGTGGAAACACACACGTCTTTGAGTGTTTGTCTTATGAGCCTTGATGCTAACGTCACACCACGTTAGGGCCTCCTAAACTTCTAGAACGTTGGAGGCCAGGTGACAAAAACCAGCACCGTCCTCTGTCCCCGCTGTCCTCTTCAATTAATGGCAGCAAAGGCTGCAAGATTGTGCACAGCTGTGGACTAACTCTCTTTTATCCAACCAAGGCTTTTGTGAAATTGCATGACTTTCCAAACACATGTGAGCGATTTTAAGTCTTGCCAGCTGTCAATTACAGAAAATTGGAAAGTGGAATTTCAGGATAAAAGTGTTTATTTGATAATTGGTTGAAAGAATGCAGTTTTAAAGTAAATAATATATCAAGAATAACATCAGAAATAGAGCTATCTTGTTAGATGGTAAAGCGTAAAACTGTATTTTCTGTCTGCAGGGGTCTTGTGTTTTCGAGTCTCACAGGAAATACTCTATTCTGTTTCACGCTTTATCGAAGGAGCACAATGGGGTTCTATTGTATTTTCCTGAAGACACCGCGTCTGTCCTGACATCGTGGACACAATATGGTTGAGGATTTGTTATGACTTCATTTAAGACCACATAACTCAGCATTGTTCTGCCATAATAAGAGTATGCAGAGAGCTTAACAAATAGACTGTTCTCAACACAGAAACTTGGCAGAACTTCTCTAATTGTGACTCAAAGACAGAGACTTTGCAGAAGTTTGTAGTTAAAATGCTCCACAGATACTCTTGTTTAGTTTCAGGCACTCGTCTAATGTCAAAGCTTTTGTCTCCGTGCTGCAATGTCACAACAAACTTCACACGTCACACAGTTTCCAGTTCTGACATCCTTAATTAATTTCCGTTCTTTCTTGACTCTTCTGAGTCAACCGTGGGGATGTAAGAATAGCTACAGTCGGTTATATTTCTCTGATAAACAGCTCCTCCACAGTCTCTCAAGTTTAGGTGTGAAAATACAAACTGTTCCCAACGACTGCAGAAGTGATAATTAGGCTTGATTTATTCACTTCCAAATGTATGAGATCGAACAGATTTACTGATGCTTTGAACGTAATTAAGTGATTGAAGCAGCGAAACAGTCTCGAATGAAACGATGAAAAGACCAGATGAGATACATATTGTTGTTTATTAGTTTTCATGTCTGCTTTTTTGTTAACGAGAGCCCAAAGTCTGTGAGAAAAACCCTCCTCCACTAAACCACAGTGGCCTTGGTGTTTCACTTTTAAGAGGAAACAAGAAAAGGGAGAGTTGATCCAAAAATAAGGGAGTCTCTGAGAAATGAGCCTTAAGATGCCTTTGAAAACTTGTTATCTCTGTAAACCTTCTAGGATGCAGACGCTTGGCTCTGTTATGCGATGATGCAAGCTGGAACTCCTATTTTCCTATTTTCTCATGGGAAAATAAAATCACAAAGTGTCTCACTGTGTACCTGTTTGACTGCACAGCTTCCTCTGACAAACGACTCAAAAGAAGAACATTTAGATATGCCAGCAGGAACCTATTTTAGTTTTATCTTTCTGAGTCGCAAATGCGTATCCCTGCTGCTCTCATGACTAATACTCAAAAAATAAACCTGAAAGAAAAACTGTTCAAAAAATAGCTGCACATCAGTGTTATTGAGTAGCTTTGGATTGTATGAGTCAGCTGATGTAGAGGTGCACTAAAACAATAGGAATTCACTCTATTTGTGTAGTGCTATATTTATAGCATATCTTCTGGTCAGATGTTTTATTTTTTACTTTCAGGAAGACAATTTTCAAGATCCGAAATATGTAATATAAAATAAGAAATTTGCATACAATAGATTATTATATATAATAGACCTAAATCAATGTCAGCCATAAAAGGGATATTTCACTCCTAAGTGAATTTTTTTCTGTTACCATATTCCCCAGAGTTAGATAAGTGGGAAACAGCATTCTCCTAGAGTGTTTCTCAAGGCCAGGCGCCTTGTTTACGAGGACACTGTCCTTTGTTGGTTAATGAAAACATGGAACAGGCTTACCTCACGTGACTGCGGCTCCCGCAGCGGTCACGTCACGTGACACGTGAGGTAAAGTTATATTTTATATGTATAAGTTTCAATATAGAACAAGCCTTTTACTTTTTAATTGTGTATATATGTGTTAAATTAAGTATGTAAGCAAGTTACTGCCTGCTAGCCACTGAACCAACTACTAAGCAACTAACCAACCATAGATAACTGCTTTGGATCAAAAATGTTTAGATATCAACTCGATAGCTACAATTAGTTGACTTACTGGAAATTTGTTCCCAAAGTAGCTGCTGGCTCCTGATCCACCATCCTTCTGAAAATGTCTCACTGCATTCTGGGAAATTTTTGAACAAGGCCAGGCTACAAGACATCTCCCATGAATCCTTGGTTAGCTGGCGGGGCAAGGCAGCTTTATTTATATAGCATATTTCAAGCACAGGGGCAGTTGAATGTGCTTTACAATTAGCATTAAATGGCACAACAGCAAACACGAGAATACAAACAAAAAATATACACAGATAAAATTATAATTAAGAGCTAAAAGGAAAAGACAGAATTAAGGTTGAGCTATTACATCACAGATTACAGTGGAGGTGATGCAGCATAAGAAACGATTCATACAAAGGCTGATGAGGACATTAGGGTTTTAAGTTTTGTTTTAAACAACATTAGGGTTGGGGCAGATCTGAGGTCCTGGGGGAGCTGATTCCATATGTGAGCAGCATAGTAGCTAAAAGCATCTTCACCTTGTTTGGTTCTGACCCGTGGTTCTACCAGCTGATTGTTTTCTAATGATCTCTACGCCCTATTGGGTGTACATATAGGGATGAGATCTGACATGTTATTTGGCCCCATGCCATTGAGTGATTTATAAACTAGTAGGAGCACTTTGAAATTTATTCTGTAGTTTACTGGTAACCAGTGTAGAGTTCTAAGAACAGGAGTGATGTGTTCCGTTCTCATAGTTCTTGTTAAGACTCTAGCAGCAGCATTCTGAACAAGCTTCACAGCTTTTTTGGGTAGACCAGTTAGGAGACCATTGCAGCAGTCCAGCCGACTAGAAATAAAAGCATGAATGAGTTTCTCTAAGTCTGGTCTGGACATGGGACCTCTGACTCTTGATAATTGATGAAGGTGATAAAACGCTGATTTAGTTAAAGCCTTAATATGTCCAGAGAAGCTCAGGTTTGAGTCCGTAATAACACCAAGATTTCTAACCTCGGTCTTTGTCTTTATTCCCCTGGAGTCCAGCTGAGCAATAACATCCATTCTATGCCAAAGACAATAACTTCAGTCTTGTCTTTGTTTAGCTGAAGGAAGTTTGACTGCATCCAGTTGTTTACTTGCTCTAGGCTCTGACAGAGTGAGTCCAGTGGACGATGGTCACTAGGTGATCGGGCAAGGTAGATCTGGGTGTCATCAGCATAGCTGTGATAGGCAATGTTGTTATTAAATGTGACCTGACCCAGGGGGAGCATATAGACATTAAAGAATAGTGATCCTAGAATTGAGTAGTGATCCTAGAATTGAGCCTTGGGGGACCCCACATGTCATGTAATCCGCTTTGATTTGTGATCCCCAATAGAGACAACAAATGGAGAACAGACGCTTCTGCAGAACATGATCATTGGAACACACCTTGGCAATTCCTGATGACATATCTCCAAGGCAACCGGGGCAGGACCAAGACATATTTCCTTGTCATTCAGAAACACCCCTATTCTGGCAGCATTATGTTTACTTTAGCTTAGCATAAACAATGTAAGTGAATGTCTGTGGCTTTTGATTACCATTTCCTCTATATATTGATTTATTGCGTGAACTCACAAGCACATTTTCAAAAATGTTGTGCAATCAATCCAGAGCCAGTGGGAATGGCAGTCCGTTCGGAATCTGTATGAAAACCGTACTTGGTGTGAACGAGGGATAATTGCAATTTTCAGTGTGTTTACATGCACATAAGTCGCTCTAGGTTGATCTGAGGTTGGAAACTGGCAGCTTTTATCTTAGTTTACAGTTGTCAGTTAGAAAACCAAACTCTCAAATGTAGTTGGTTCCACTCTGGTGTGGCAGGTGGTGACATGCGTCCTTTCATGTCAACATTCTTTTGGTTAGCTTATGTGAATACAAATAGAAAAACAAATGCTGGCGGGAATGAAGCAGACGCAATAAAACAGAATGGTATTATTAATGGACAACAACAACCCTGCAGCACATATTATTTGGTACATACTGTACTGTTTGATGGTGTTGCACATGTAACATTGTGATGGTGATATTATCAGAAGACTGCTTCGGTGGTCTCGTCACTTTCGGCAGTTACCGGTAAGCTGGACTGAACTGTTTACATGAAGATGAAGTCGGGTTCCCACCGCATTACCTGGGAGCCTCAGCTCGATTAGAACCAGTTCCCCTTCCAATCTAACAAGTTTACATGCATAAAAAAAGAAAACGTCCATCTATTTAGGGCAATAGTTCAGTTTTTTGATGCACGTGTAAAAGCACTAACTGATATCAAATCTTTAATCCATCCTTTCTGGTTCTATTGCTGCATTGTGCAAAGTTTCACAAAATAAAACAAGTAAATGAAACACACTCACACACACGTCTGTTTAGCAAATAGTGGAAAATTCAGTAATTCAACGAGTAAACTTCTCACAGCTGTGTTTTTAACTTGACTCTAAAACCAAGGGAGCTATTAAGTCCTTGTGATGCAATTTTTTTCCCATTCAAGAGCATTTAACATGTAATTCGCCTTGCACTTTCCTCACGTTTACAAGTGGTCTGGCTTGTCTTCTCTATGAACTACAAACAGAACCTGATCGTTAAACTATTTTGTGTCTTTACCTAACAAGTTGCTGCAGGAGCAGGGATTGTATCGGAGTGAAAATGACAGCAGGTCACAATCTCAAGCTGTCATTTTTCATTAAAGATAAGTTACCTGTCATGCAAGCTGTCTAATCAAATCTGAACAATGTAGAGAAGCATTAAAACACTATCATTTTCTCTATAGATTCCCTAAACGGGCCATTTCCTTCAACATCCCATCGATGCCATCACAAGCCGAAGCGCTGCCTGCCCATCCAGGTGTGTGGGAATTTGTCCTCCTTTCCTCTGCTCTTCCATCCCAGCACCAAGGGTTCACAGATCATCATGGACATGTCCCAGAGAACCGTCAAGAGACAGGCCAGCTTCTGTAATGCCATCACCTTCAGCAATAGACCCATTGCTGTTTACGAGCAAGTCCGACTAAAGGTAAACACACTGTTTCTGCATCCGAGAAACTAGTTTATCTCAAATCTGCACCATTTTTTTTTCTTTTAAAGACAAGATATTCCAGTATCAGCTTTATGAAGTTACATGCTTTGTAAATTAATGAGTGCAGTCTAGGAATGAGATGGTAACTCTGAGGTTTGTACCTCCCACTCAGTCAGTAGGTTTTCATTTTTCCTTTCTCTGATCCCATCTCTTCATCTTTGCCCTTCTGTTTGGATTTCTTTCTTTTCTCTCTCTGCGCTTTTGTGTGGGCCAAAGCAACGGCAGCTCAGAACAAGTTTCCACTTCACCTATCAGGCCATCTACGTCTCAAAAGTGAGAGAGCAGGGCGAGCGCTGCCATATGAGGGGTTCTGTTATCTTGCGCAGAGAAAAAGCTGACAGGGTCAAAAGATAAAAGTGTTTGCAGGTGATAAAAATACCAAAGTAACTGGTGTTGGCGAGTTAGAGACAGATCTGTTGTTTTTAGTCAGATTTGTGCTTTGGCACTCGTGATGAGAAATCACTTTCTTTTGGTCCAAATATCTCAGAAACAATGAAGACTTTTTTACACCCAGCTGCAATCAGTTTTGTTTCTATGAAAAATCATTATTTGCATTGCTCTTGTGATATAACTCACATCTTTTGATACACCGAGGCTGTTTACAGCATTGTGGAGTACTTTACAACAGACATTATGACACGGAACGGCTTGAGGGCACCAACCCAGCCACAGTTTTGATCACTTTAAAGTACTATTGATCTTAAAGTGTTCTAATAAATTGTGTACTTATCACCCCACAACAGCCGACCACGGCTGCAGGTTCTGGATACAAGGGGGAACAAGCGACTCAGGTGGTCCAGAGAACAGGCAGGGGAACCACTGATGACTAAAATAGATAATTTATTGGGAGGAGCAAGGACAATGCTAAAAGTTCCAGTCTTCAAAGGCTGAAGGAGTAAAATCATTAAAGCAGTCCTAAAAACAGCCTAAAACATCCTGTGCATCACCAGGGGCGGGACGGTGTCCAGTACAAGGAGCCACCTCTTGGCTCCAACTGACCGTGTTGACCCACGTAGCTGGGATGCAGTCTGCTCCACCTTGTTCTTTGGCTGTCAGGCACAGTTGACCTCCTGCAGCAACCCGTCTGTGCTGCTACCATGGCTCCAGCGGTGTCCGCTGGCTGCTGCACGCACTGCTGGTCTCTCTGTAGCCCCCTGGCACAGCTCCGCTCCTTAGACACATCATGCCCTCATCGGCCCAAGGCCCTAACAAGACACAGAGGCACCAGCACCAAAATTGCGCCACTCACATGGGTGAGAAGAGGGCAACCCACAGTCCTCCACACTTGGCCGCATGTCCACATCCTGGGACGGTGCTCCAGGTGCCAATCTGCATTCCGGGTGGTCGGGCGTTCATTTCCATGCCAGAGACATCCAGGGTGCGTCTCTTGCTCTCAATCAGGCCTCATGCATGTCTCTCTGGTGTCTGCTGCTCTCCTGGACTCTTTCCTCAGTTCCTTTTACACCTCGTTTTATGAGTCCATTGCACCTGTGGGCATTCCACACCTGTTCCCATTTGTTCAAATTAGTGTCTCTGGGAGGTACCACAAAGGGAAAGACCATTCAAAACACAAAAGCATGTCAACAATAATGAAACACAAATCATGCAACTTAAACTCAATCCAAAACTTTTCCACTTTGTGACAAACTTACCCATTTTTTGTAAATTAAAGTCTCACAAAACACGACGGCAAGTCTGATCACATATAAACAATATAAGCTTCCTGTTTTCACGTCCCGTGTGATGTTGTGACTATCGTGCGACTTTCCAAGAAGCGTTCAGCGGCTCTGGTGTGCCCCAGGCTTTATTTCACTGGAACTAAATGGGAATGGGACTAAATGCAAATGGACATCTTGAGACAGTTTACACATTTATAGAAGTTATCAATGTCCAACAATCTATTTTCATCTGCTTATCTGGGGTCAGGTCGTGGGGTCAGCAGCTCAAGCAGGGAGGCCCAGACTTCCCTCTCCCCAGCCACTTGGGATGGCTCGTCTGGCGGAATCCTAAGGTGTTCCCTGGCCAGCTGTGATACATAGTACCTCCAGCGTGTCCTGGGCCTCCCTTTAGGCCTCCTCCCGGTTGGACGTGCCAGCAAAACCTCACCAGGGAGGCATCCTGACCAGATGCCCAAGTCACCTCAACTGGCTCCTTTCAATGTTGAGGAACAGTGCTTTATCAATGTTACAAATGTATTTGTAGTAAGTTTGATGGGTCGATGTTAAAACGTTTAGCAGCTTGCTCCCCAGAGTGTTCTGCAGCATAATCAGCACATTCTCTTTGTACTTGATATCAAATTTTCGCCTCCTCTTCGTCTCCGCACCTGCCATGGTTAAAGTTACCCCCGTGGTCTATCACTGGCAAATCAAAAGTGAGACAGATGACACAACCGCCCCCCTGTGGTACTTGCCTCTTACCACATTCCACCCGGACACAATAAAAAAAACGGCCATTATTCCCATCCGCCGACTCCGACCGCGGCCAAAATGTGATATCCGGCCGTTAATTGAATACAGGCCAATATTAGAGGATTTACAGTACTTTACTTCAGGATAGGCAGTGCTGGTCCTGGAGTGCCGCTATCCAGCATATTTTAGTTTTTACCTGTTCCAACACACCTTATTTACATCAGAAGGTTATTGACAGGCTTCTGTAGAGCTTGATAACTTGGTGAACAGGTGAATCAACCAATCAATTAGGTGTGTTGGAGCTAAAACATGCTGGATCGTGGTACCCCAGGACCAGGACTGCCTAACCCTCCTCTACATTTTTGCACAATATCAGTGACTATCAGTCCCTTGCATCTGCCTCCATCTATGGCTGCAGATCCTTTTTAAGACTATAAGATGTTAAATATTCATTAGAAAACATGATGGTTTGGGGGGTTAAGTGATACATTGGGAGATTTGTGCAGAGTGGAAGAAACCATTAGCCTGGAAATCTGAACAAACCATAGCAGAATTAAAACATTTTTCTCTGCAGGCTGGTCTAGTCACGCTCCACTGTAGCCTGAGCAGGTTTACCATTTTCTCAGCTAAAAGTAAGCTGGGCAAATCACAGCACTTTACGTTTGTGGAGAGACACTGGGCAGGCTTAGCACCATCACGTCATAGCTTCTTTTTTACGCAGAATTGCAGAATTGCAAAACAACAATCATGGTGCTCATTTGAAATGACATTTGAATCGACTTTGGATGATTTAGTCTTGGGCTTTTCTTTGAGACATCAGCAGATAGAGGTACTTAAGTTTGTTTTGACTCATTTCCATTGTAGTGACAATGTCACATTATTTGTTGCTCTGTCCAATTATTTTCAGAGACTGAAAAACAACTATAGATTGTGCCTCTATGTCTGAGCTCTGCTTTTGGGTCGTGGCTGGACTATATTCACATGCAATGGATGGCTTGCCAGGCTAACAAACCATAAGATTCTGCAAAAACATGCATGTGGACAGGGTCCAGTTTCATCTTGCAGCAGGAAAATAACACAAACACATGCAAAATGTGCCAGCAGTGTTTAAAGAGCTAGCATGCAGCAGGAATTGAGATCCTAATGAAGTAGCTGGTATCTGGGTTGAAGCCTGCTGTGGGAGAAACTTGACCAGGTGGTACGGAGGACAACCCCAGCAGTCCGTCTTGTGGGACATGCTCCAGGAAACGTAGGGTGAAATCTAATAAACTCACCTTGAAAACTGACAGAATGCTCAAGGTCTGCCATGCTGGAGTTGGTGTAAAAGGAAGTTCCAGGTTTTAATGAAAGCAAAACTCACCATTTGATTTTTAATGTCAACAATGTCTTCATGTCTTGTTCAGTTGTTTGCACTATCTTCTGTTTGATGGAGAACAAGAAAGTCTTTAGTAGTGGCGTACGTCCAGGATGGGTTTTATAACAATAAGTTGGAATTTCATTGTGCAAAAAATGTACCAAATTTATAGAGAAATTATAATTAAAATCTGTAGGATGATAATTAATGCAAAGGGCCTTTGAAAACCCAAATAACTAAGAGTTAGCATTTGTTGTGTTGTTAATAAAGGCTGCATGGTGGCGCAGTTGTTAGCACTGTTGCCTCGCAGCAAGAATGTTGCAGGTTCGAAACTGGGCTGCGGCCTTTCTGCGTGGAGTTGCATGTTCTCCCCATGCATGCGTGGGTTTCCTCCGGTTACTCCAGTTTCCCCTACAGATCACAACATGCCCTACAAGTTAAAAATTGTATGTCGCTTTGGATGAAAGCATCTGCTAAATAAATAAACATAAACATAAATTATAGTGGTGCAACGGATCAAAAAAGCCACGGTTCGGATTGGGTCGCTGTTTTCAGTCGCGAATCGGATCATTTTCCAGATCAGCAGAAAGAAAAGAAAAAACAAATAGCTTTGCTCTATTTATGTAGTAGAACACTTAGTACAACATTTTCTGCTTAATATGCAACTTGCAATAAAAATAAGAATTACAGGGATGTCCGATTGCTGATTAAATGTTTAAACAGCTTGCCATTGTATACTTTCTCCCTGCATAGCCTGCTTTCACTCATTTCCTCACCTTTTTGATGCAAGTTTTATTCTTTCCTCCTCTTTTACGAGATCTGTCCCCAACAATATTTAGAGGTCCCACCACGTCGATGTGATAATTGTCCCGGGCATTTTACGCGTGCCCCCCCCCCACCCCCATCCCCCCACGTGTGAGCGGCGCTGGGCCGTCAGACGAGGCACACGCGCATTTGTATTCCTTTGCCATTTTTTTCATCATTATATTTTACAAGGAAGCCAAAATGCTCCCATACATGCGACCTAAACGATGTGGGTGGTTTTTCAAGCTTCTCTTCTCCTCCGCCATGACCACTGCTGTAATTTTCTCATTTGGATTGAACAGGTGGCGCCTCGACCCTCCACGTGAGCGATCCGCGGACCATGTGCGTGTCGAGTCGTCAGTGATCATCTGTTGCATCCCTAATAAATTGTCTTCTAACATACATTTGACAAAACGTGAACACAGTTTGATTCATCAGATTAGTAATAATGCTCAGTGTTTACTTTGAGTTCCTTCAAAAATCCAATAGGATTTTTTAACGTAAGAAGTACAAACCAAAGCTTTGGTACTCATTGCACTCGTAAATCTTTAAACTTTGTGTCTTACTCTAAGAAAAAGATGGCTCATTTATGTGGATGTGTGTAATTTTAATTGATGAGGGTGGGAAAATAAAACAAGAATAAATCTTGATTTAAAGTAAATTAATTAATCAGCAGCACAGGTGGGGCCTTCATGGAAATAAATCCGGTCCCAAATGCTAGTTATTAATTGTAATTCATGGAACAAATATTATATTTAAAGATTTATCTTAATTTGAGTTTCTTTATTAACTTAGAATACGTCCTCTCTAGATAACTAAGAAGCAGTGCTGCTGGAGTGGTGCTCTACGTCTTGGTTTCACATCCAAAGACCCATCGAGGATCAATCCGGACACTTTGCCCAAGTACGCCTGCCCCGACCTGGTCTCCCAGAGTGGCTTCTGGGCAAAAGCCCTGCCAGAGGAACTCTCCAATGAAGGGAATGTCATCTCCTTTTGGGCGGATAAGAAGGGCAGAGTTTTTTACCGCATCAACAACTCCAGTACCATGCTGTTCTTCAGCGGCATACATGTGGGGGAGCCTCTCTGGGCTCTCATAGACGTCTACGGTCTCACCAGGGGGGTCCAGCTGCTAGGTGAGTCATATTTTGACACTCGGGTTCTTTCTGGGAAGTGTTGAATTTTAACTATGTTCCAGTATTTGGGTTTAATTTTTTTATTTTCTTGTCTTGCTATAATCAGGAGAATAATAGCTTTCTGATCCTGCTAAACATTAGTGAGATTTTAACTTAAAACGCCTAAAAGTACAACCAGGCAATGCAGACTGCATGAACCCCCTTTACCTCAGAAAACTGCTCTAAATTGTGTTTTTCTTTAGTTTTTTTTTTTAAACACAAGTGATTAAAAGGTGATGTTACACTGAACTGTGCAGGTTTTCCCACAACAACAAAATGACTCAATGGAAAAAGATGGTGGGAGATAAGGAGGCCTGTTTAGTTACCACGGTTGTGGGTATCAAAGAATTCCCCCAGAGGGAGGAATTTCAGAATGTTTAAAATCTACTTCAACAAGTGCTGTTTAAAGGGTCATTACATCAAAGAAATCAAGGGCGAGCAGGCCCTTCCTTATTATTAGCAGCCGTTTTACACTAAACTTAACCACCTGAAGTATGTCTTAGATTGAGGTGACTTGTAAACAATTCCCATTTCCCCAGAATAACACAAACGTACTAAAACAAAACAATAAAAGGAATTCCTGAAGAAGTGTCATTGGTTTGTTATAATCCTTTCCAAGAATTACAGATCCTCTCTCTAAAGAATAGAATCTGTCAGCACCTTTAATAAAAATAGAAGAGGCTCCCACTCGGTGTGATAGTGCCATTTAACCTCATTTCTGGTGGTGTGGTTGACAGTGAGGGAGCGCGCTATCTCACGATGAGCTCTTTAGTATCCAGCGATAGAGTGCGACTATCTGGGGTTCGCTGGTCCCGTGGTGCCGCCCAACACACAGCTCTTGTCGGAGAACAAGAGCTGTGTGTGGATCCTCCTAAGGGGAGAGGCAAGAAAAGGGATGATGTCAGGTTAAGACATGTGTGCCGTGTGTTTCCCAAGACAGTCAGGCCATTGGAATGTCTCACTTCTTGAAAATAATAGTCATGTGACACAATTATCTTTAACTCCCATTTGAAATAACGTCTTTCTAGTCATGTTCTGAGTGTATTTCATGCAAACTAAAACACTTTAAAGTGAAAAGCGTCGGGCTTCAGTCAGTCAGAGGATCACTTGGTTATCAGCTTAGCTCTACTGCCCGAGACCGGTGCTTCTCGTCTCTTTTGTCTCTCAAAGACCCGGTGTTGTCTCACAAGTTGGCCTCTGTTCAGCAAACGCTTGTCCTCTGGAATATGGCTGGACACATCAAAGTCTGGCACGTAGCTTTTCTCTCAACAGAAGGGTGCTTTGTGATTCTTAATGACGCTTACACTATGAACGCCACAGTGAGCTAAGCCAAATTTCACCTGTTGTGGGATTTTATCAAAGATCTCTTGATTAGGCCCGAGCAGCGAAAGCGCTGCGAAGGCCTCTTGTTTTTGCTCTGTTTATTAGGCCCGAGCAGCGAAAGCGCTGCGAAGGCCTCTTGTTTTTGCTCCGTTTATTATTATTTTTTTTATTTATTATTCCGGTGCCGCTTTGAATGGCTTTTTGGGGATCTTAACATACCCCAAAACTCACAATATTTTGCACACTTGTCAGGCCTGGTGAAAAATTTGATATTTTAAAGGTCCCAAAAAAATCGCAAAGAAAATGGCTGAACAGCGCCCCCTAGAAAATGAAAAAAAACCCTCTACATAAAGCTTAGTTTATCGTACCGTTATGAAATTTGGTACACTTATAGTACTCAATAGTCCGCACAGAAAAGTCTCTTGCAAGCATGGTCAATATCAAACAGGAAGTCGGCCATTTTGGGTTGAAATGGCGATTTTTTGCAGTTTTGGCCGTTTTTAGGGTCCGTTTCTGATTGGATTGCTCGATCATTTTTTGCACGATCATCTCAAAAATTGTGTAAAATTGCTCAGAAGAGATGGGCGAACAAAATGAGACAATAAAATTGACTTTTCGTAAATACTGAAGGGGCGGGGCCAGGCCTCGAAGTTTGACTACTCGCCAAAATTTTTTAAATTGCTATAACTTCATAACTGAATGGAATAGAGTTACCAAACTTTCTGTGGTCATTCGTCATCACCTCACAAAGTAAATTGAATGGTCGCATGATGACATCACACAAGCCCCGCCCCCTCAGGACCAAAAAGGTTAAGTTTTACTGTGAAAGGTCCCAAATTGCCCCATTTCACTAAATCACCACAAATTTGTAGCTGGTAACTCAAGACAAGTGGGGGTTGCTTGGCGTCACATTATGTGAGTTTTCGGCAGAGGGCGGGGCTGTGGCGGCGCGGCGAAGTCAGGCGTACCGCCGTGGCCTTACGTTTGCCTCCCATTTCGTCATTTCTAAAGATATCATCACGAAGCTTCTTGTGAGTGATCCTAGTCTGGCCCCTCAAAAGATCTGATGTGAACATCCGGTGGGCGTGGCCTATTTTCTGAAATAGCGCCCCCTAGGACCATTAAAACTGTCAGCCCCAAGCCATGCTTTGACTGAGGATTACGAAATTTGGTACACTAATGTGGTGTCTCAGGACCTACACAAAAGTCTCTTGGACCCAAGTGCAAAGTCGCACAGGAAGTCGGCCATTTTGGTCCAAGTACGCGATTTACTGGTTTTCGCACACCTTGTTTGGAGAGTGATGCTCCGTCGCCCTTTTCACCAATCTCCTTGAAACGTCTGCTATATACTCTTAAGACAAAGAGGAAAAAATTCAACCGTCGGATTTTTCAAAAGTTTAACGGTGTGGGCGTGGCTAAGCCTCAAACTTTGACCTGTCGCCACGCCACTCATTTTTTCACAGCTCCCTACTGGACTCCTTTTACCCAATCAGCAGGAATCTCTGGCAAACAGCAGTAGACAACTTGAGGTCACTTGGTATCCAGTACTGGCAGGTTTCAAAAAAAGGCGGGGCTTCAGGAGCATGGCGAAAATCGCCATCACGCCATGGAAGTATGTTTGCCTCTCATTTCTTCAGTTATCGTGATATCGCTACGAAACTTCTGGTGCGTGATCCTAGTCTGACCCCCAAGCGGCATAGACATCTGAAATTTGTGGGCGTGGCCTATTTTCTTAAATAGTGCCCCCTAGGACCATTTAAACTAATAGCCCCAAGCTATGCTTTGACTGAGGATTACGAAATTTGGTACACTAATGTGGTGTCTCAGGACCTACAAAAAAGTCTCTTGGAGCCAAGCGCAAAGTCGCACAGGAAGTCGGCCATTTTGGTCCAAGTACGCAATTTAGTGGTTTTCGCACACGTTGTTTGGAGAGTGATGCTCCGTTGCTCTTTTCACCAATCACTTTCACACTTCTGCTATATACTCTTAAGACGAAGGGGAAAAAATTCAACCGTCGGATTTTTCAAAAGTTGAAAGGTGTGGGCGTGGCTAAGCCTCAAACTTTGACCTTTCGCCACGCCACTCTTTTTTTCACATCTCCCTATTGGACTCCTTTTACCCAATCAATAGGAATCTCTGGCAAATAGCAGTAGACAAGTTGAGGTCACTTGGTATCCAGTACAGTTAGGTTTCGAAAAAAGGCGGGGCTTTGGGAGCATGGCGAAAATCGCCATCACGCCAAGGAAATACGTTTGCCTCTCATTTCTTCAGTTTTCGTGATATCGCTACGAAACTTCTGGTGAGTGATCCTAGTCTGAGCCCCAAGAAAAATAGACAGCTGAAGTTTGTGGGCGTGGCCTATTTTCTTAAATAGCGCCCCCTAGAGCCATTAAAACTGTCAGCCCCAAGCCATGCTTTGACTGAGGATTACGAAATTTGGTACACTAATGTGGTGTCTCAGGACCTACAAAAAAGTCTCTTGGAGCCAAGAACAAAGTCGCACAGGAAGTCGGCCATTTTGGTCCAAGTACTCGAATTAGTGGTTTTCGCACACGTTGTTTGGAGAGTGATGCTCCGTCGCCCTTTTCACCAATCGCCTTCAAACTTCTGCCATGTACTCTTAAGACGTAGGGGAAAAAATTCAACTGTCGGATTTTTCAAAAGTTGAAAGGTGTGGGCGTGGCTAAGCCTCAAACTTTGACCTTTCGCCACGCCACTCTTTTTTTCCACAGCTTCCTATTGGACTCCTTTTACCCAATCACCCATAATCTCTGGCAAATAGCAGTAGACAACTTGAGGTCACTTGGTATCCAGTACTGGCAGGTTTCGAGTAAAGGCGGGGCTTTGGCAGCATGGCGAAAATCGCCATCACGCCATGGAAATACGTTTGCCTCTCATTTCTTCAGTTATTGTGATAGCGCTACGAAACTTCTTGTAAGTGATCCTAGCCTGAGCCCCAAGAGATATCCATAGCTGAAGTTTGTGGGCGTGGCCTATTGTCTTAAATAGCGCCTCTAGGACCATTTAAACTATCAGCCCCAAGCCATGCTTTGACTGAGGATTACGAAATTTGGTACACTAATGTGGTGTCTCAGGACCTACAAAAAAGTCTCTTGGAGCCAAGCACAACATTGCACAGGAAGTCGGCCATTTTGGTCCAAGTACGCGATTTAGTGGTTTTCGCACACGTTGTTTGGAGAGTGATGCTCCGTCGCCCTTTTCACCAATCGCCTTCAAACTTCTGCTATATACTCTTAAGACATAGGGGAAAAAATTCAACCGTCGGATTTTTCAAAAGTTGAAAGATGTGGGCGTGGCTAAGCCTCAAACTTTGACCTTTTGCCATTACTTTACTTGACTTAATAACTCCCATGTGCATGATCAGATCTTTTTCGAACTTTGTCTGTGTGATCATTGACCATATCTGTAAACAATGACAATGTGGACAGCTGACATCACCTAAGCCCCGCCCCCTGACTACAGGAAGCCTATTGTTTTATGGTGAACTGCCCATATTTGTCCCCTCTAATTTAGTCAACATGAAACAAAGGTCATGCACTGTCTTCATGATGCTGTATTGACCATTCAGATCTGATAGCTTTCCAGAAAGGGAGGGGCTTTGATGCCATGGCGAATTC